CCCCCCTTCCTCCCTCCCTCCCTCCCTCCCTGTGTGGGCCTCTATCTGCCCCCTCCCACACCCCTCCCCACCACAGACTTACTAACGGGAAGCTGGTTTCCAAGCTGTAGGGCTGCATTCCTAGCCACACGCATGCTGCGGCTGTGCACATGCACGTGGCATTTATCAGTGATACTATCAGCCAAAAAAAGGCAATTGCCAATAATGTTAAATATGCAACTGACATATCAGTGCACCTCTACTTATGAATTAATTATTTGAGTTTGTATATTATGCAAAATGTTTGCAATGGTTTAGTTCACTGAAAACTGAGCTGACCATTGATGCTACTATTTGCTCAAGGCAAAATAGACAACTCTCTTCTGTGATGTGACAATAATTTCAATAGACATTCATTGTATAGGCTTAATTTTTGTGTAAAGAAAATGTAAACATGCCTATAACAGATTCACATGCTCAAAGAGATGTAGGTTTGGCCAAAAAAAAACAATTTGAAAGAAGTAAACTGGGTCCAAATTAAGCAATTACCAAGCAATCTGGAAATTAAACTTTGTTACTTGGTATGAATTCAGAACAAACCTGATATTGAGAAATGATTAAATTTGCAAACCATGCTTATACAGAATTAAAACATTCATGCAAAAATATTTCAAAAAAAGAAAAATCTGAAAAAGCAAGCTGAAGTTTACTGTCAAGACAGACCTTCACCTAAAGTCAAAAAAGTTCTCTCCTTATTCCTAAATACTTACAATAATGCTTCTCAGTCTTTTGAAACTCAAGGTTCCCCTGAGAGAATGCCAGCTCTTAGCCTTCATTCATTTTTTATGGAAAAATAACTGAGCAATTGTTTTGTTGCAAAAACTCAGCGAGACCTCACCAGGTTTTGACGCTATGTAAAATCTTCTGAATCGTGTGTAGGTTGCACACCTCATTGTTGCACACCTAACAATGCCAACATTTTCTGGTACCCCTGAAAGGATCTCGCAATACTCCAGGGTGCCACAACACCCTGGCTCTGAATCACTGATTTAAACACTATACTAGCTTGTATTTTCTTAAATTCTTTGTAAATTATTTTCTTGAATACAAATGTTTCGTTACAAAAGCAGCCTCTATTATTAAAATGTTTAATGCCGTTTTAAATGTGGAAAATGGTACGTATTAGCTACAAAACTGAAAGGTTGCTATTATAAATGCTTTCTTAATGAACACTCAGGAAGCTGAAAGTGTAAGAATAAGTTTATTAAGTGTTAATTTTAAGCTACTGCAATTTTCTCAACAGATTTAGGAAGATGCAGGACTTTTTATTTATTTATTTTTTACTAGTAATGCTACATTTTGGAGGATTTCATAATACAGTATTCTAATATTAATTCAATTAATCAAATTCAATTATTGAATGTGCCTTTATGCATAAGAGCTCTTCAAATACTCCAACATTTTTACAGTAAAATATTTCAGAAAAGGGATAAAAGAAAACAAATATGAATTTCAGAGGGATCTCAAAAGTAACCTTTACCTAGACAAAGCATTATAAATTTTGATTTTGATTACTGCTACTACATATGCAAGAGCCAAAGTAGTGAGACCAGATCATAAGATTATAAGCCAACAGAAATGTGTCCATTTACTGACCAGCAATAATACTTAGAAGTCATTTAACCTGGTTGGGCATGACAGAGGAAAGGGTGGTTAACAATTTAAAAAGTCTTCCTAACAAATACACTAACTTCACATCAAAAAGGACTACAAATGTTCAGTAAATAAATGAATTATCAACACAAATACCCAGAGCAAAAAGTAGCACAGGCTCAACACAAAGCAAGAGCCAAGAAGGAGCCCAGAAGACAGAACAACTGTGCTGCCAGATTCCATTATTGCATCTAAAACTTAAATTAGGAAACATATTTGCATAAGCACTGTGTTGTTAGTAAAGATGACTGCAGTTCAGTACTGATGTACTTTAAACTTAGGTTTTATTAACATTTTTGCTAAACCTTGAAGAGTTGGACACTCTATTCCTGGTGAATGCTGACCAAACTAAAACTTTTAATTTAAGATCCACAGGCCAGATCTTCAGCTCATGTAAATCAGCAAGGATCAGGGGTAAATCCAGCAAGGGTACAGTGGCACAGATGCACACTGCTTATGGATCACACCATAGGAGCAGAAACCAGGGACTTTTAGTACAGGAAACAGGTATAACATCCCCCCAACACAGCACTCCCTCCCTTCCCATCCATGTTCAGTGGCACCTCTCCTCCCATTCTCTCCTACCCAACTGCCACTTTCTCCTGGGCATGTGGGGAGCTCCAGAGCTGTTCCTATCCTGTTCTGGCTGGGCTGCAAGGAGAAGGGGGCTCAGCTGGGGAGTAGTAGTGGGCAGATTCTTCTTTCCCTGTTTTCCCAGCCATACTGAATGCAGGCACAGGGAGGAGGAATCCACAGAAGCACCTATGGGCCAGGAGGATGCAATGAATGAGAAGGGAGGGGAGATGCTTCCGTACACAGATGGAAAAGAATGGGATTCCAAGAGTTGGGGATAGAGGTGCACGGATAAAGATCTTTTTGGCCGATACCAATGGCCAAGTATGAACCAGCCATAGGGGGAGATACTGATCCGATTGCCAATATGCAGCCTGACAGCTTGGAGATCAGTGTCTGGCCAGTGAGTCGGGGGGGGG